AAAGTTTTGTTTCCTATTAAAAAAATGAAACTACAAAACTCAATTCAATCAGAAAGCGGGCTGACTTCGTTGAAGATATAAATCCTAATATTCTCAAGGGGGTCGAACATTACATTCTGATTATATTACCGAGATAACAAAATCAAAACTACCTATAACTATTTTTTTTTAATGAATAAATAAAAAGGAAAGAAGAGGCCATTGCTTACCAGGTGAAGAAAAACGAGAACGGATGGAAGATCGATGCTTCTGATACCCATTATGCACTGACCGCAAGCTTAATTCAAATTTTTTCTGTGATTTGGCACGGTATTTCCTTATAGATAGCAAACGCATGTCTTCCTTCCAGAGGTGTTGAAAGGCTTTGAACTTCATGGTTATAACTCTCTCCTTAAACTTTAAAAACCGCTTCCTCATTGCAAATTTGTCTTTAACAAGTGTATGATGCTGTGAGGACGAGGCACTATCAAATCTACAAAAATCTAATTTAACATCAACTTTCGGCAATAGCTTCTTAAATACTTCATGTGCTGTTTTTGCTAATTCTTTATTGCACAACAAAATTGCGCCATGCAACATATCTTCTCCTTCAGTACATGAACCCATACAATTGGAGATAGGTGCAATTGTTTCAACCTCTGTCAGAATACCATCATCCGCATAAGTGGAAGGACCAGTTTTTCCCCCTCCCGAATGCACTGCGCATTGCACCTCCTTGTTCAACAACTGATTGTGATTCAAGTCCTCTGCAACATGATTCAACATGTCAAAAGAAGAAACTTTCTTTGCCAAAGACAGAGGCTCAACAAACTTCGACGTCACAGTTCCAGGACTATCAACATCCTCGTCTTTATTATTTGTGCGAATTTCTTCCTCGCGGCCATTGCAAATAGGTATCTCCTCCACAACTGCATCCCTGGAAGAAACAATATGCAATAAAGCCGGACGAGGAACCGAATTGGTAATATCTAGATCCTCGCTTGATTTTAATTTGTTCTCCAGAGGCAAAGAACTGGAAGCTGATGGAGAACTGCTTCGAGGAATGGAGTTCAATGACTTGAGTTCATTTTCAAGTGAATCAATTTCAGATTCAGTCACCTCCAGTGTCTTTGAAATTTCACCCTTCAATATAAGCAACTTATTCATTGCAGTAGACCTCACAAAACTAGAGTCCATTGAATTCGGATCATCTAATTGTAGCAACTCAGTTAATGATGGCCCCAAGTTAGCCACTGAGCTAAAATCCAATTTCTCTAAATTAAAGGGGGATCCTTCACAAGGGTTCTGAGCCACAGGACCAGGTGAGCCACATAAATTACTAATATCATTATCGCTATTCGCTGCCTTACCAAATGACTTCTCCTCAACACCTGTTAAAGCACGGAATGGAAACTTAAAAATCAGAAAAGGCCCCCAAAGAAGATTAACAAATGGAAATCGGCTGTCAACATTCAATAAACATTCCAGAGCTTTCCGCAAAACAGACAACAATCACAACAGATTCCTTTTTTCTTTTTGGCTTGGACAATCATAACAGAATTTACTGTAGAAAAACATGGACAAAAAGCTTCAAAGAGGTGGAGTTGCGGAGTTATAGGAATTAGATCGACTGATACAGCCTCTTGACAATAATATTTAGAATTATAAAGCTTTTATTGTAATAAGAAGTTACATCTGTTCAAAAAGCTTCAATTCAGAAGCAATAGGCACGCAGCAATAAATTTATAACAAAACACATTTTAACTCCGCCAGATATGTTTAAGGCCAAATGTCAGAAGAGAAAAGAGGGCAAAACAATATCCAATGGACATTGAACACCAATGATGCAAACTCAAAATTTTATTTCATACAAAAGGAGAGCAGCTCCCGTGCATATGGTGTATCCAGAAAATTCAATAAACATCTATTTCACAAAAAGTGTGACCAAAAAACACTAATTGTACGAACTCAAAAAATTCAGACCATTATACAGTTTTTATCTGAGCCAGAAAAAGATATAAAATAAATCAAACTAACAACTAACAAGAGCCATCTCCTCGAGGTAGCAATAGTTCAAAGGCACAGAGAATTTTAAACTTTTCATCTTGGTATCACAAAACCTTGACCATTAACTTAACGGCCAGGTCCTAAAAGAGAAAAAGTACCTGCCAAGAATGGATCAAAAATGGCACCCTTGATCAAATATGGTACTTTTTGGAACACTACCTAAAGTCAATACAATAAAACCATAGAATATGCTACACTAGTACCCTTCCTCACTTACTTTGATAAGACAGATATACAGCTTACAGGACTCACTAAATCTTAATCAAGATCTCACTCAATACCAAATGCCGAAATCAACTAATCACTTGCAACTTTTCGGAATCACTTAAGAAACTCCACATTTATCTCAAAAAAAATGAATTATTATAGTAACAGAAGTAGAAACTCAACAATGTACCTGGTGAGGAACTGCAAGCAACAGATGATGGAGTAGCAGGGGATGCACAATCTGAAAAACTTGTAACTCGTGGACTTTTATCAACCAAATTGGAACTGAAAGAATGGGAAGGTTCCACATTGCTGACAGCAAATACAGTCTCATCTTTGTTCAAGATAACCTCAGGACCATCGACTTTCTTTTTCTCATACTTTGCCAACCCCTCACCCCATCCAAGGCGTGGTTTCTTCCGAGAATTTGTCTCATCCGAAGGTGCGGCGGATGTCACACAAGCATTAGCATCCCCCAAGGGAGACTGGACTGGAGTAACATTTTTAGTCTGAGATTCAACCTTTGCTTCACTTAAATCTATAGCCCCAACACTCTTAGAGCTACTCAAATGGCTGAAACCCGAACCTCGTGAAGACAAGCTTCCAGATCGAGTCCACTTGATAGGCTTCCAATCATTCAAGCCCAGAGAATTCTCCCTGTCACATTTCTGGCCTGTGACCAACCCATTAGAGCCACCGATTCTATCATGTTGGTCTTTCAACTGAATCTGATCCCACGTGTTCCCAAAGCCACCATTCGAATGAGACGAATATGCTGGCATTTCATCACGTGACTTTAGTTCATTGTTCAGATCGTGTGCTCTTCCTGGCGTGTTTGAAAACCCATTGCTTTCCCAAGAGTGACCTCTCCATTCTCTTTGGTTGTAAGACCCTCTATTTTCTCTACTATTCCTGCCATATTTCCCTTCCCGGCGCGAAATAGAAGACCGGTAGTTCTCATCTTCCAGCACCTTCTCACTGCACCGAGAAGGTGCATACCCATGGCCAGACTCCTCAGGGAAAAAGTGCCAACCACCCTGCTTACCATGACCTTCAGAAAATATTCCAAAAAGAAAACAAAAAACACCCAAAAAATCAACAAAACAAAAGTATAGATTCCAATATAAGTTGAAAAGAAGGAAAAGCCAGTTCCCCCTCAGTGGTTCTTCACAAACGAGAGGGATAATAAACGAAAAAAGGAGCAGAAAATCCTAGATCTATGCAATACCCACAAAAAGTGAAACGCGGAAAATAATTCTCAATAACCATCAGCAAATTCTCATCTCAAAAATATAATAAACCATCAAAGGGAATAGAAAGTCAAAATTTCTACATCCATCTTTTTGTTTGTTGTTCGAGCAGCCCAGAACGATTTGAAAAAAAAAAAAAAAGAAAAAAAAAACCCCAATTAAAAACGGAAGCGGCAAAAATAACCCTTATAGCCAGCACTTTCATCAAATCAAAAAAATTGTTTAAAAAAAAAAAAGGAGAGAGGGAGAGAGACAGAGAGAGAGAGGATTAATGAACATACCTAAAGGTCTCCGAAAATCTGCAGATCCCCAGCGATTGAGGTCGCGGGAACCGTGATGGGATGAGTCCCTCCATCTGGCGACGGAGCCAACGGACTCCGACCTCTCGTACTTCCTCTCCCTGAAGAAGTCCTTCCGATCCCAAGGCAATCGTTCAGGCGGCATCAAAACAAACACAATCGCATGGGCAGCCACGGCCCCGCCCCCCAATCAAAAACCTTCCTCCTCACAAACCCTAACAAAAACTCCCAAAATCAACCGTCGCCGCCTCCGGATCTCCCTAAAACTCCCCGCCCTGCCCAACAACAAGCCCGCCGTCTCAACCGAACGGCAATCCGATATCCCTCTCCGACAAGAATCTAGGGTTCCGAACAAAATCCGCAATGAAAATCACGCCAAAAATACTCACAAAAGACGAAAGAAGAAGAAGAAAGAGAACAGAAGATACGAACCTGAAGCAGAAAAGCGAACCGCGTTGGATTTTCTTCTCCGAAATCAGATCAGCAAGAAGAAGAGGAAGAACAGAAGAAGAAGAAGAAGAAGAAGAAGAAACTCTCTCTCTCCTCTCTGTTTCCCTCTCTACAACAAGTTATTCTGATTCTCTTTCTCCTCCTAGGGTTTCCTAATATCGTTATCTATCTCCTTCCTTCTTCGTCTTTCTCCTCTTTGCCTTCTTCTGTTTCTCTCTCTAGGATTTTCTCTCTATCTCTATCTATCTAATCTAAAAATAATAAAAAAAGGGAAAATAAATAAAAATGAAAATGAAAATACGAGAAAAATGAAAATGAAAATTTTCTCGCCTCTTTTTCTTTTGGCTTTGGTGGGAAAATTGCCTGTGGGTTGTGGGGCGAGAAAGTGAGGGCGTGACCGATAAGAGACAAAGAGCACCTTGAGAGAGAAGGTAGAGAGAGAAAGATTGATATCGGATCTCAACGACCCTATTAAACTTCATTCCAATCCCGCTCTCGCGTCCGCAAATTAAAAATGTAAGAATATTTTTCAAAATTACTTTTGATTTTTATTTATTTCTCTGTCTCGCAAATCTTGTTGCTTTTATACAAAATATTTTTTCTCTCTCTATTCCCTACCAATCAACTTTTTCTTTTTCACTTTGGCCCCGCTTGTGTCGTCGTTTTAAATTTTCGAATTCCGGAAACGCCCCTGGGCTGTGGAAGTATTTACTCAGAAGGCGGTGGAACCACGCGCCTACAATTTTCTTGAAGTGATGAAATGACGGAGTAGACCTTGTGGTTATTGGGAATGTCGATGCTCACGTGGCGCGCTGATTAAGGCTAATCGGTTCGTGTTTTAAATTGGGTTGGTGCGGTTGACCAACGATTCATGAGAAAATTATAAAAATTGACTTTTAAACGCATCATTTTAAAGTTTTGCCTTTTATTTATAATTAATTACTTCTTTAATGATAATCTATCAAATTATATATGGTAATATGTCAAATTATACTCGTCATTGATTATTAGAGACTCGTTGTTAGTAATTAGAGACCTGCTGTCAACGTAATTTGTTAAATTATAGATAATAATATGTCAAATTATTTACTCTAAATGATAAAATTTAATAGGACAATGTAAACTCAAAAATCTTTAATGGTATTATTTTAAGGAATATTTGTTAAAATTATATTTATATCAAAGTGAAAAAGAATTGGTTTTCTTTTTCTTCTTTTTTAGGGAAAAATGGTTTATAAATTTTAGAAGGGTTTTTAGCACAATTGATTCTTAAACTTATCGTGGTTTAGTAAATTATTCTTTAAACGTTTAATTATGACAATCAACTCTCTGAATTTATAAATTTGTTACAATGTGCCCATTTTACTAAATTTTTTTTATTAAATTTAAAGGATTAAAAATTGAGAAATTGAAAGATTTATGTTATATTTAAATTAGAATGTTGAGATTTTTCATTGAACGTGCTTTTTCAACACTAATATAACACAATCATGTCGAAATGGGGCATATTATAATAATTTTACAAGTTAATGGGGTAATTTATCAAAATTAAAAATTTATGGAGCAATATGTTAAATTACAATAAGTTTTAGGGGACAAATGTACTAAAATTCATTTTAAAAAGAATTTTTGTGTATATACATTGGGGCCCTTTACAGTGACACCCATACCCACAGTGCTTTACCAAAATTATTTTGACGCCCATTTGACCAATCTAATGACATAAGCACTCTTTGTCTCAAACTTTGTTAAATTTATGAGAAATGTCAATACTACTCCTTAATATTTGCTTTCTTTCTTTTTTAATTTGACTTTTTTAACTAAAAAAAATGTGTTATGATGTGTTGTAATATTTTTTAAAAAGTTAATGTAAAAATATGTTAAAAATGTTAATTTATTTAATTTTTTGTGATAAAATTTAAGTTTAATTTAAATTTCATTTTTGTTTTATTATTAGAATAAAATTATATAATTTATTTTATTATTTAATCAAATTAATTTCGTTATAGTATTTATTTTAATTGGTCCTAATAATGCGCCAAATAATAAATTTATAATTGATATGCTATAGTGGATGTAGGACATTACTAAAACAAAAGATCTTTTAGAGAAAAAAAAAGAAAATATCTATTTCTTTTTATTAGAGTGAAAATTATCAATACAAATATGTAAAATTAACTAAACTCTTTTTTATGCTAAATAAGGGTAAAAATGTCATTTTCATATAACATATAAATTTTTTATACATGTTGAGGCATTTTTGGTATTTTTTAAAGATTTTAACAGTGAACATTCACTGTTAACTCACATCAACTAACGGAGGGGGTGTTTGTGTAATTTTTTTAAAAAGTCGACGGTTCTGACGTGATTAGTTTTGGTTAAGGGAGTGTCTCTATTATTTTAGCAAAACACAAAAATATTAGTGTAATAAGCCCTATATGTTGAGGTACATAAAGTACTAGAAGCAAGCATACAAATTTATAACGACAAGTGATAGTGATATAGCGGTGGATGATGATCTATTAAGGGTTTTTCACTTATTTTTTGGGCCCTGCTTCCCACTGTTCCTAATAAGAGTCAACTTGACAAACATGGATTAGGTTCATTCATAATATTTCTCTGTGTGAGGTTCAATTTTATTGTAATTCTTATTTTTTTCAAGCTGGTATTGTGTGTGTATAAATAGCAGATATTGAGCTCATTTAGTTTGTTGATTCGAGTTTTTAATTCGAGTTTACATGTAACTTTATGTGAGAGTTTTTTACTGTAGTAAAAAAATTAGATGTCACTGTTTTTTAAAGCGTTTTGCTACATTTCTGAGAGTATTTTACTATAATAAAACTCGAATCGATGAAATGAACGGGACTATTGTAATTCTTGTTATTTGGATAAAACACAAAGAAACAATCCATAGGCAGATTGATCATAAGAATATTTAGAAGAAGGTAACCTTATTAAGTGAACCTCATAAAGTAACCTCAACGAGATAATGGTGGAACAAAAGAGAAATTATGGGTATTTAAATACCGTAAGTGTACCCCACTTGTGTTTTCTATGCTAGATAGATAGTATTAAGAGGGGCAGAAACCCCATTTGTGTTTTCTATGCTTTAAGAAGTTAGCATGTTTTCTTGTCAAATCAACATATTAGCCTTATAAAATTTAAGAAAACCCATTTTATTCCCCCGTAAAATCTACATATTTTTTTAATTAGCCCCGCAAAAATTGAGGAGAACATTTAACCCTTACCAAATCAACAAATATTTTATTAGATTAACATATGATCCAATCGAAAAACAAAAAAAAA